CGAGAAGGATGTCCTACCTCACCGAAGATAAAAAGCGCACAATGTCTGTGCTATATCTTTTGTTATGTGAGAGCTGATATTAAATTTCGTTTTCAATGTAATCTTTATATAAATATCAATGTTAAAAGAAAGCTTGGGACTAAGTAACATATTTTCCATGGTACATAATTACATCCAAGTTAGAAAGAAATTTGCCGACATAGCACAACAATCGGACAAACTAGCATAATGTTTTATAAAATATAATGTGCTATTATAGGCTGAATTTAAATTATTGTCACGCTAAATACGCAAAGTTATGCACATAGTGGTCCTGTTTAAAAACATTATCTTCTCATTCTCCTGAACCATATGTGAAGGTGTGTGACCTGGAACTATTTTGTTTTGTATCTTTCACAAGTGCATACCACATAGTTGTTGATTGACAGCACTAACGTCAATTCGACGCAATAGGTCAAACGTTCAGTTAAATAACGTTTGCCGGACGTATGATTTATGTCGGCAGAGAAGCCAAATACATATTCAAAACTAGATTATGCTACAACCCCAGGGTAGGTAGTGTACTTACAGTGACGGGGTATATGCATTTGACGTAAACCTTTATCTTGACGTCGCCGCTGTTAATGCGATTACAATGTCAGCTACACGATATAAATATTCAAATCTCCCGCAGGAATCCTCCCATATTTACATAGTAAAACACCCTTAGGACATTGACGCACGATGCTTGACTTTGACATTGTCAGCATTGCCCGTGACATTCAAAATCATGCATTGTATATTTCAGTATTGTAGATGCGCAATTAAATCTTGATGTATTTGTTTATTTAAAAATGATTTTGAGATATTATTAAAAAATGATAACTATAAATGAATTCGTGTAATTTATTATTTTAATAAAAGGATATCATACTGGGGTGATTTATCAAGTTATTAAAGTCAATGCATCTCTAGCAATATCCACGAGAATGAAACACTCAATAAACTGTGGGTTCACTTCGCTTTTTATTATTTACAGGATTAGTAAGTGTTATTGTACACCTCAGTACTTGCGACACACATTAATACACATGTCTTCCTCGAAAGCAGCACGCGTATTCACAATGTAATTATGCAATGCGTTATTTGTTTCTGTCACCGTGCGTTTTGAAAGTTCGATGTAAGTCTCTGTAACGACAAGAAATATGTGTACGAGGATGCATGCAGTTTCTTAGAGCTAACCAACAACACGCATTTTAAATCAAAGAATTGATGAAATAAGTGAAGGAATCTTATTTCATTGGTGATATTAACACACACAGTGGCAATGTTATTTATGTTGCTGAAAGTGATTGGAAATTGAAAATATTCTACATTGCGATGCAGCAATAACTAAATTACTCTTCATCATGACGTCATTATTTACGTCACCACTGAGTCACAGAAAATTATTTGTATGAGTCCATTCGATGTTTCATTTTACGTGAAATTGACAATATATAATCCGAAGAATTTGATACCTAAAATAAGTACCCTAGTTTATTGCCGTGTAGAGGAACTGACAATTAAGAGCAAAGCCAAGCCGCTGGTTAAGTATATTCAAATCCCAAATAAGTATGTAAGGGGAGGAGATCTTTACTCGTCTAGAAATTCAATTACTATACCCCTCTAAGCATCGACCTTCAACAATAGCGCCCGTAGATAGCGTATATTTAGTATACACTGTTCACTCTTTTTCCAAGAAGCGTTTAAAACTGCAATTTTTGCACTACGAAAAATATTTTTTTTTTCTTTCACAAATATTTCCTCTACGCGTATATTATATTGGTAATAGCCGTGTATAATATCTGTAAATGTGTTAAGGAAACCAACCAACAAACCAAACTGATTTTAGTCGTCGTTCCATGATATATATAGTGAGATATGAGATACTTAGTAAAAGTTGATATAAATGACGTTGTTTGGTGATGCATGTCGCATGAATGACACTTGACAGCAATAGATCTGTAGAAAATCGAAGATTCTACCAACAAAAATGAAGGGTGGCACATGATATGCACTGACGCACATGACATTATTTGAGCACATGTGAATAGATGGTTGTACACGAACAACTCGTTAGCCTACATACCTTACCTGTGCATATAAAAGCGGTCGTTGGTGGCGCGTATCGAAAAATCCTATACTGATGTACGTCATTTGTTTGAAGACAACCGCAATTTCGAGCTAGTACTATACTCCGCTGTATACCATAGATCTGACTTGCGTTTTGATTACGTCACATAAATATGGCTACGAGTATGATTACAGAGTAAATTGATCAATACATTCTGATATAGTATAAATATATGTATTTAAAATGCAAATTTAATTACAACTAATATGCAGACATATAATCGACAATTAAAATGTTCCGGATGTTGTTTTCAGATATTCGTTGTAGGTACTGAGCCTTTATAGTACAGCACCGTTTGTAATAGTTAAGTTCCTGTGTATACCTTCACCAATTCTATCGTATACTGCAATGGGCAACATTTATGTTTAAAATTATTTTTACTATTTCTAGGCTCATTGACTCAATTGTCTCTATTTCTTAGTTAACTCTCTTCGGCTGCCACCTGGTATGATAATACCGTCGACAAAACAAAATTACCTCCTCCGTAAGTGGCGCTCTGAATCCAAATGACAAGCTTTTAAAATCTATGACATTCAAAAATACTTGGGAAAGAGGGCGCTTTTATGGCCAACTCTTATTTCTCCATTGGCTACTGATTTTCCACAAGAAACGCAATGATTCAATACGATCTAGAGCTACTCGTGGAATTTATTCATGAATAATATCTTATAACGTCTCATCTCATCTTTCATATAATCACAAATTACACACATATAATTGTGAGTTTAACCCTATATTATATTACAGTGTAGTGGTAAATTGAACATATCCTACATCATGTACGGTCAATTGGGTGAAACAAATATATCAAGTTTACATATAGTGCACAGCATATTAATTACAAATGTATTCACCCAATCAATGATAGTTAGTTGGCGAATTAACCAACGAAATCATGCGAGAGGGTACATAGTTATAGATATATCCCACTTTATAGCGCTTGAAGCAAGTAAATAGGGTCCAGAACAGGAAGTCACACATCGTCGCACCGTAACTGAGGCCAGCGACTCATTTGCATATAACATCAACAGCGACTTCTCAATCAAAGAGCAGGGTAAACAAACTCGATTTTCGATTTTTCAGTATGTTTCAGCATTGACAATGCTCCAACATTTCAACACTATCTAGCCAAGACTGTCTGGGTAAGAAAAAAACTCACGAACCTGCATCACCGTAAATCAATATTTAGGGCGTTTATTGCGTAGGCGTATCATATTACTATTATTTCTAAAAGAGTGAAATCAACATTATCATTTATCGCGTGCTCGAATCTTTTGTTTTTATATGTATTAATGAGGGCGCACGGCAATGTTCTAAGGAACTTTGCTGTTCACCTCCGTTTGTGCAAGACGCTCATATAACGATTCTTATAAAATAGGACACAAGCATTTATTTTTAGATAATTAACATTTCTGTATGAATTAGATTTCTGTATGAACAGATAATAGTCTGTTTTGTTAATCTAATACTTCATTCACTCCTTTATTTGTTCATCACATCAATGGTTTATTCACGGAATGGAAGTCTGCACCGAACAAAAAAAAAGTAATTAAAATTAATTATTGGTTGAACGTTCTTTCATAGGTTATCTATGCAACGGATAATGTATCGCTGCAATGGATTGGCGGAAATTAACTGTGTTCGGTGTCTTCACAAATACGTATGTTCATTAAAAAGTCGACTTTGAGGGTTTTGTCTTTTCTAATTCCTCCCAAACTTACCGTGACAAAACAAGGTATTAGAAACACCGCTAACTCATGACAATTTACTGTTGATATGCGTGTAAACCGCTAATAAAACTGGACAAAAAATTTGGAAAAAAATGCCAATGTATAAATACATTAATAGATCTAAAAATAATTTGTCTGATTAATCACATCTGTTAAACTGAACGAAACGTATTCACAAAGAAGTTCCATCATTAATGTGTACACGAAAATTGTCCTAAGGCGTTGAGCAGATACTCGAAATGGGGTCGTAATAATTAAAAAATCTGCAAGGATGAAATGTTTTTTTAAAGAAGAACATATTCCATATAGTAAAAACAAAAAAACGTTTACTACTACATAACTTCTATTGGTCCATTTCTAGGAATCTTATACAGATATTACTTATCATTTATTCAAAGCTACTTAATGTTAGCCAAGCGCAAGGTCTGATTTAAAATATATGCTTAGCATATGAAAACAACTGTAGAAATTAATTCTGCATATGTTGGTTTACAATTAGCATAAAGACAAAGAGATATGTGCGAATTTCCCAAAACAACAAACCATTGGCCAGAAAAATTGTCACACGACGAAATTTGATAATCACAGTTCAAACTATCATTGTCAGAGTGTCAGTAAAACACTAGCAGCTACAATGGTGTTATTATACTACTGTGTATCAAACTGTAATTTATTGTCACTGCATGCTCAAAAGTATAAGAGTAGAATTCATTTCAATAAGGCAGACAGAACACAATAATCAGGGATAACGCAAATTGATTCACAATCAGAACAATATATATCCCATTCATAGTACAGGGAATATTTTGAATTAGTTATTAAAGAGAACTACTTGTGGAAGAAGCTTTAATGAACCTAACATCAAATTAGATTAGACAGAAACATAAGCATTGAAAAGAAAATACATGTTTTAGAACCGATGCCTCCCGACGGACGCTGAACACCGCATGATTGCAACATTGCAGATATGCATGCGAGTAAATCTATTAACTTCCCGTTACTAGATACGATATTTAATTCATCGCTTAATAATACCTCAGCCCCCTGCGAGTACATAATGGACAACAGCAGTTACAATAGTCTACACGTTAGATCGAAAACGGTTGTATATTTTATAGCATAAATACTTCTTTATTGTATTTAACAATTACATATGATACACTAACAGTTTTCACAACGATAAGGAACACTACAGTAAAACAGCAAACTCCGTCAAGTTTATGCATGAAATATGTTTGATTGGTCTTGCAATAAGTGAATGAAAGTGTATACTAGTTAATTAAAAGAGATAATCCCATAATGGGATCATTAATTTAACATCATCAGATAAGCTTCGTAGTAATATACTAAGTATGCCAAACAATACTCGCGAAGATCGTAACTAAACATTATAATAAGCTTCTTCTTTCGCGTCTTCTTGAACATCAGGGTAAATGTCACCAAGTTCTATGAAAATGAAAAAAAGAATGACATTGCTAAATACCGTAGAGCATAGCGAACAAGAGCTTAGATAGATTGCAATTGAAATAAATAAATAAATAAATAAATAAATAAATAAATAAATAAATAAATAAATAAATAAATAAATAAATAAATAAATAAATAAATAAATAAATAAATAAATAAATAAATAAATAAATAAATAAATAAATAAATAAATAAATAAATAAATACCTTCTTTCATTTCTGTCAGGTAACTCAACATGCTTTCCAGTTCATTCAGAGATCTTGCCCTGGCAATCGATCTGTATATTGAATAACCAAGACCTTGTTTTGCGTTGAGTATGTCATCATCCACATCGCCATACTCTTGATTATCATCATCTCGTGGATAGAGCTGTTACATTATGATACGAAAAAAGTAACTTTTAATTACTTGAAGATTATGCACACACCGTGATAAATTGATTTATTTCGTTGAAATCCATGCATGTATAGCGCAAATAAATCACACTCTCATGACGTGGTATACTCTAAACTGTTTGTGATATAATACCACAATAACAAGGCTTTAGATTTGATTGCGGGATTTTGTTCAATCAGCGTGGTTTAATTGGTTCCATTTGTATGATTTTAAACGCTATCATGGTGTCATTTGATTTTAAAAACTCGTCACACAGCTCTTTTAAAATTGTTTTAAATGTTGGCTCTACATGTAATATAGCCCAATTTTCAAATTGTTACAGTGTCGTCTATGGGGAGTGGCAATATGGGACCTGAAGAATACTTTATATTGATATTCATTGGAAAGGAACGTCATTATATAAGACTATGTATTCCCATCACACGGAGATAATTAGTTTGCTAAAGACTTTCTTCACCATATGGGATCCGGGCGGCGTTATCAATATTTAGTACACACTTGAGTCGTGTTTTACATTGTAGAATGGACAGGCCAGTCACAATAATTTACAGTTGCAGTTGATGTCTGTAAACGTGATGCTATCCACTAACCGCCTGCATGAATCGTTTTCCGGTTATATGTGATGGAAATGCCATAAGACCTCCTCTCTGTGCACCAGCAGGGCTACAATTCAGATCGTTCGAAGTGGCACCCAGAGCTGTCAAGGAAAGAACAAAAATACATTAATTAAACAATCACACAGACTGGTTACTAAATGGTTCACCCTAAGAAACATTAACAGTAAAATACATTTACATTCACTCTTGCAATACGGTAACCCGGACTCACACTCTCAGCGTAAATTACAATAACGATTCAGTGTTTCTTCGCAAACATACAGGTATTGAACGCATACAAGCACAAGGAACACTCCTTTTTCTAGTCGAGGGCGGAATAATAAAGTAAAATTATTAGATAACACAGCAAAGTCAAAAACAAACAAAATGTAAACGAATATATGACAAATACTTCCGTATATTGTTAACATTAGACTAACATTCACTATTTTGATTTGGAAAACTCGATAGTTGAAAATAAAGTGAACAAATCTTACGACAAATAGGTAAATTGTTTGTCCTTGGCCTGCCCCTTCTTCTCGCTTCTACTTGGTCCATCAGCAAAACCATAACCAAGGCAACGAATGTGGCCAACATGAAGAGTGTTTGTCCCGTTTTCATT